ACTCTTTCAAGCTCTTGTTGGCGTTGTTGATATTGCAGAACAATGCAAACCAAAATATCATTCAACAAGCTTACCACAGTAATTTCTTCAATTACACTCGAAATCATACAAAGATACCCTCAATGGCTCACTTCAAGTACAATTTATTTTTTCTACCTCAAATGCAATAGCTATCTACCTGAATTTAAGTACCCCTCACAAATCTTTGTCATATCTTTCTAATTACTAAAACCTAATATATTAAATGACAATCTAATCTTTTTTTTTTTTTTTCTTTCAAGTTGAGTATCCCAAGTCCAATGCATAGATTAATCTTTCAGGTTCTATTTAAGAAATCAAAAGATGGTCTTCTATATGTACTAATTTGGGAACTGAACTCCTAACTACATGAAACATAACTATCGGTCTCTCGAAAGATGTCATCGATCATCTTCATCCTTGCCATAGTCTTTTTCAAGCTATATTAAATATTTCACACTCCTCACTTTGTCTTTCAGTTGTGAGCATATTTTCAGAGATATAAATGGATGAATTGGTGCTCTTGTCATATTCGGTCTCTCAAATGATCTAAGTTCAAGGATCTTTTCTGCTTCTCTTGATTTTCTTTCGATCTCGCTTATGGCTGATTTTCAAATTTCAACTACTTTATTTTCTCATTAGTTTTTCCCCCTTTTTAAGCTAGTTCATTAATAAAAAAAATAAAATAAAATTATTTATCAATTATATCATACTATCACATTATATCGATATTAAATATTTTATTATTCAATAATTTTTTTGTTTCTTATAATTTCATAAATTTTACTTTAAATTTCTATAATTAAAAATATTCTATTTTAATTTATATATATATATATATATATATCATTTTATTCCCCCTTCTAATTTTTGTCGTTTATTTTTATAGAGATTAAACGATAAAATTTATGTAACTATATAAACTAAAAAGAGACAAAAATATTATGTATAAAAACAAAAATGTGATCTTTTAATTATAGGAATTAAATGGTAAAATTTGTAAAATTATAAGGGTCAAAATCATATTTTATTGACCAATAATATATTTACACCTTATCTTTTAGATTGTGAAAGGTCTTTATGATAGTTTGAGAGAAATAGATATGAAATTTGTTTGAAAATAATAATAAGGGGAGAAAATGATGTAAATTGTAGACGTTTTGGGAGTTAGAAGAGTACATGATTGGGTGTCCAAAAGAAGCATCTAGAGTGGTTAGAAGAAATGAAAGAGGAAGAAAATGATGGTTTATGAGGTGAAAGATAAGAAGCATATGCAGGCAGAAATATTTGCTAGTTAAAATGGGCATTGATTGGTGGGTGTTGGTTGATGAAACATAAAAGCCAGGTTGGGGGGGTCACATATGTGCTTCCTAAAACCCTTTGAGTGGATGGAAATCCAGCTCATAGCTCTTGAGCACTCATATGACCCCATGTGGAGAAGAGTACTGCCAGTTCACGAGACTAACTTATTGTATTTCATTTTAACATAAAACTATAGCTGTCTCCTCGTCCCTAACGCTGCCAACAAGTTAGATAATGACCCTCTTCCTTTCTCCCTATGTGCCTCTGCCTCGCTTGTTAAAACTCATGCAACACATCATCATTAAAGCCAACTTCTACTACAACATCTGAGTGCCAAACATGTATCATCCAAAACTATTATATATTAATAATGTTTTCTGCTTCTCATTTCTCGTGCCCTTCTGGACAAGATAATGGTCTACCATTATTAATAAAATATACATATGTGCCGCTGCCATGTTATTAGAGATTGTTACCGTCACCAATCGCGATTGACAAGGGAATCATACGATGCTGATGGGTACATAATTCGTAACAGAATTTAATTTTGTTTTCATCGCAGCTAGCTAGCCGCTAAATGCCTTGCTTTCACATGATTTAATCAACGACTCAAGCGTGTATTTATATCCTGTTTTGCTTCGTGTTGGTGGATTTGCTATTAGTTTTGACTAGCGGATTCAGGTATACAAACATGGGATCATGTGGGATATATTTTGGTCCCAACATAAAAGGAAAAAGGTGTGTAATAATATTGATTGCTGCAGTTGATAACCCTAGCATGTCTGTACGCGCTTATTACCACAATCAAATAAAATCGATTACACGGGATAAGAAACTCAAGAGGTTAAATTCAAAATTAAAATATTTTTTTTTTAATACTTTTTACACCATACTTAACTTTTGGTTCCTGTAGTAACAAACCGCAGGGAAAGATGTAGATAGAAAAAAGTTTTCATCCCATTCAACAAAGGAAAATGTTCCGTCAACTCTGAAATACGACAACCTTTTTTTCCTTTTCATTGAAATGCATACATAAAAAAGTAAAAATATGTTTCATGTCAATATATTTTTTTTTTAATGTGACTCCATCAGCTAAACGTGCACCCTTGTCCTTCCAATCCATTATTTGCACAATTTTTTTTAAAAAATGTGAAATGACCCATCTAAGAATTATGGTCAGACGTCAGAGGCTCCATATCTCCTCGTTTTTTTTGGTTAAAGGGTAATTTAAATAAGGACGGTACAGACTGAATGGTTGTCAAAAAAATTATAGAGAAGTTTGGTATATATGTGGTTTTGGTTACAGAAAAAGCGAAGCTAAAAATCTAGGAATGAAGAAGAGGAGGAGGAGAGGCGAAAAGGGAGTAAGAGTATATTAATGCAGAGACAGTGCGGACACAGTTGACACTCGTAGTGAGATAGTAAACACATACGCAGCTGTCACACGACACTACACAAATCCATTGTCTTTCTTACTTCTGTTATGGCCACCAAATTAGAGTTTGCAGCTGTCACATCTCTCTCTTTCTCTCTCTTTAATATATATAAATAAATAAATAAATAAATTTCTTCCCTCTCGATATATATATACTTTTGTTGCAATCAACCTTCCAAACAACCATCAAATAATAACCATAATACATCATCATAAACCATACCCACCTCTCTTTCTCTGAACCTCTAGAAATGCAATGATGAGGATGACATATATAGTAGAAAGCAGAAAAGTTTGATGGAATTTTGGTCCGGGAAAAGAGAATGAGTGAAACGGTAGTGACTCTCCATCCGCAAACAAGGACACCCATTTCTTCTTTGGATGCCATGGCTCATCATCACCACCCACATTATCGGTCACAGTTCGGAGACACAACGTTCACCAAATTGTTCGTGGGAGGACTAGCCTGGGAGACTCCCACCGAAGAAATGCGCAAATATTTCGAGCAGTTCGGAGACATTCTTGAAGCTGTCATAATCACTGACAAGAGCACCGGAAAATCCAAAGGCTACGGATTCGTATGTTGTTCACTCCTTCATTCATTATTTACATAACATTACCATACATCATACCTTCAATACCACGTTATTTTTTATTTCATCCTCTTATTATGTCCTATACAGGTAACATTCTGCGATCAGGAATCAGCAAGAAGGGCATGTGCTGATCCAAACCCAGTAATAGATGGAAGAACAGCAAATTGTAACATTGCTTCTCTGGGAAGGACTCGACCTTCACCACCCCGAGGTTAATTTACATTACATTCTTTTTAATTCCCTATTACTAGTAGTATATATGACAAGGTTAATTATTATGGCAGGGAGGAATATAGTTCAAGGTGGAGGAGGATCAGCACCGGCAGCGGGAGCACCGTCGCTGCCACCACCACCACCACCACCACCACCTGTTCTGTACCCACCATATGGGTGAGTTGAGTTAGCTTTGTTTCATTAATAAATCATAATTTGGAGTCAAAGGAACTGGTCCATGATGTTAATGGGGAAGTGCATATAGACGCACTACATCTTACTGTCTGCATATGTTGCTATTCACTGCTCCTCACCAGTTATAGTAGGAATCACTGTCAGCCTATAAATCATATCCAAATACAAGTACAAAGGGGAAAAGGTTGCTCTGCCATCCACATAACGTGCATTATTGCACCTTCTATTTTGCATAATCTCAACTCACTCTTATAATGCTTAACCAAATGCATTTTTTAGCTTATTAGTCACTTGCATTTAATATTTTTCGCTTCATTCTTTCTGTAAATCTATATATTTTTCTGTTTGTGTTGGAAGAACTCGAAATATTTTTAAATTTAAAAATTCATAAATTATAAATAAAGCTTACCAAGACTTTATATGTTTATATTTATAGTATCTTTGATTTAGATAGTTACATACAATTATGGTAATAGTAAAAATGCTAGTCATAACAGATATAGACCGGTAGATATGTGACCCCTGATGGTGCATAGTGTATATATGTTCAGTGTGGTCCTGCATCAATTAATTTGATTTATGATCTTGTACAAGATAAAATCCCACGCCTTTCGGTACTTTTGCATGTTCTGAATCTGAACCATCGAGTCATTTTCACACCAGCTTGTACTATTCAGGGCTCTAAAATACTATATTTAGTTGCATATGTTAATATTAACATTAGTTGCATTCTTTACACTAAAGCCAAAGATATTATAATGAAATATGGTGGTTGATAATCAATTTGATGAGTTGCATATATAGTATCTCTGTTTAAAGTTTAATTACTTCAGTTTACAAGTCATCACTGACTCTGTATGTGTGCATGCAAATATGTTAGAAATTTAGTATATCACCGTATTTTTTATTTTATTTTTTATATTTTAACGTTAGTAATACATAAAACAAAGTCATGTAAACAGAAAGAAAGATACAAAAATAAAATTAATGAAACTTCTATGAATAATAATGTGTCTTTCTATAATTGTTTTTGTATGTTTCTCTTTCGTAAAATGAAATTATTACGTGAGATACTAACATCAAAGCTAATCTTTCTATTTTATTGTTTATGTATTCCTTCCTTTTCTGTTTATTGGGAAACACAATCTATTATAAGAAAGCAGTGACTGAAGTCATAGTAAATTAAAACTTAGGGACTATACGTACCAGAACTCCATATTGGCACACAATACAAACATTGATCGATCTCTTTTTCTTCCTCTCTTTATATACTGATCAATGTGGGGCCCACGACAATATACGACGTTACTGAAGTTACCGGAAAAACATTACATATTAAGTTCACCAGTCAATGCCATTTTGAGTCATTACTTATTCTCAAAGGAAAAAATGCACTAATGCAATTAATTTACATATTTTCTCAATAATTAAATTCCTTTCAACTTTACTCTTGCAGCTATACAACCTACACTCCTGCTGATTACGGGTACCAAGTAAGTCTGTTAATTTTTCTCACTCATTCACTAATTGGAAACATTTTGATTTAAATGATCACATCTCAAATTAGGTAGTGATAGAGTGGAGAACAATCGGATAATGTTAGCTTAATGATTGTATGAACACAGGCCACATTGTACAACCCACAGATTCAACAACCGCAATACTATCAACAACTTTATGGAGCATCATCTTCAACCATGAGCACCCCATATTACTATGGTTATTCATTGCAAGCACCAAGAAACACATTTTCTTCACCCCAAGCAAATCGCTCCTATCTATACTACCCAACGCCCATGGAAGTCTCATTCTCTGGATATCGTCCACCCCAACAATCACCAATGAGGCAACCCTTTCCTTCCCTTAATGGTAGCTTTAATTCTCTTCTCTTCTTTAATTAATTTTATTATTCTTCCCTCTAATCACATAACATATATGATATATTTCACACGATATACGCGAGTGAGAGAGACAGAGATTTATGAATTATGATGCACTTACTGACACGATATATATTATGATTTGGCTGCAATATATATGGCATTGGGGGTCCACACGGGCAACCACAGAACCATGTGAATGAGCTGTGCCATGACTCGTATGATGTGTAATGGGTCAATGTGGAAAGTCATGACAGAGGGAAAGAGAGTCATCGTGTAGGATGCTCATGCATGTGGTTTCAGTAGGAAAAAATTGTTGTGGTTAATTCTTTAATGCAGTCAAATGTTCTGTCATTCTTGCATTGGCCCACACTGCATGTTAGAGATACTATCGTATATATCAGTGCTGTAATTTTTAGTTTTGAATAAATACAACCATCACACTTCGAACCAGACAAAACCTTCTTTCTCTTCCACTTTGTAAGTACAACTTAGGTTGGATCAACTTCTAACTTCTGTATTTCAAAGAATTTAAATATATATAT